CCCTCAATGTATCATATTAATAATTTTTGTCAGGAATGTTCTCTACTGTCACTATAATTTCGCTTATTTGAGGATTGACAGAAATGGTATGATGCCAGACCAGCTCTGGTTGAAGAAGTGAGCTCAATGTGTCATACTCTAACGATGTGGGTGTGATGTACATATTTATTCTTTCAATAAGATTAATTACTTTGTTTGTTTTTTTTCATGTGGTGTATGTACATAAAGGTTGTTTGGCAGACAAACAGGCCAATCATTATTTTAACCTTACCGGTTCATTTCATTTTATTATATAAATGACTGTACTAGAAAATGATATTTTTGTAAAGGATAACGTATAGTCAGAAATCCAGACAGGGTGATCAATGTGAAACGACTGTCTGTACATTATCCCAATTTGTACATAGTTGCTTGTCAAATAACTAAAAGTGGAAGGACATACAATATTGATTTGCAGATTATGTTGTTTTGTGCAGTGATACGAGGTGACATGAAACTAGTGCAGCTATGTACTGTAGGAAATAATTTGCCTGGGACAGCCGTCAATTATGCAGTGTGCATAATGCACAAATATCATAGACCACAGAATGCCATTGACCAATCACTGGCAAGATTTCCAGAGAGCCATGACATAATAAAACAAAATTGCAAATATAATTTTCGTGAGCTTATGGATATCTCTATTAGCAGCTGTTGTGCAGGTTTTTAACTGTTTGCATTTAAATGCCAACATATTTTATTGATTCTCAGTTGTAATGCATACGTGTGTGCGTTTGTACAGGAAATGATGGTTCGTGCTCTGAAGCAGACGAACAGTCATAGCGTGGAGGCAGCCATGGAGTACATCAGTAGGATGAACTTCCAGGAGCCTGCGAGGGAGCAGAGAACGGCACGCCCTGTCAACACGGCCATAAAACAAGCAGGGTATAATTTCGCTTATTTGAGGATTGACAGAAATGGTATGATGCCAGACCAGCTCTGGTTGAAGAAGTGAGCTCAATGTGTCATACTCTAACGATGTGGGTGTGATGTACATATTTATTTTTTCAATAAGATTAATTACTTTGTTTGTTTTTTTTCATGTGGTGTATGTACATAAAGGTTGTTTGGCAGACAAACAGGCCAATCATTATTTTAACCTTACCGGTTCATTTCATTTTATTATATAAATGACTGTACTAGAAAATGATATTTTTGTAAAGGATAACGTATAGTCAGAAATCCAGACAGGGTGATCAATGTGAAACGACTGTCTGTACATTATCCCAATTTGTACATAGTTGCTTGTCAAATAACTAAAAGTGGAAGGACATACAATATTGATTTGCAGATTATGTTGTTTTGTGCAGTGATACGAGGTGACATGAAACTAGTGCAGCTATGTACTGTAGGAAATAATTTGCCTGGGACAGCCGTCAATTATGCAGTGTGCATAATGCACAAATATCATAGACCACAGAATGCCATTGACCAATCACTGGCAAGTTTTCCAGAGAGCCATGAAATAGTCAAACTGTCACACAAATGCAAATGAAATTTTCGGGAGCTCATGGTTCTCTCTATTAGCAGCTCTGCATGTTTTGAAATCTCTTGCATTTAAATGCCAGTTAATGAGTGCCAACATATTCTATTGATTTTCAGTAGCAGTAAATTAATACATATATGTGTGCGTTTGTACAGGAGATGATGATTCGTGCTCTGAAGCAGACGAACAGTCATAGCGTGGAGGCAGCCATGGAGTACATCAGTAGGATGAACTTCCAGGAGCCTGCGAGGGAGCAGAGAACGGCACGCCCTGTCAACACGGCCATAAAACAAGCAGGTATGTAGCAGAGCCCCTTCCGCAATTTGATGTATTAATTCATTTTGATGGCAGCATAACATTTGGGACCCTGGACCACAAAACCAGTCATAAAGGTCAATTTTTTTGAAATTGAGATTTATACATCATCTGAAAACTGAAAATCAAAATACTGAGAAAAATCGCCTTTAAAGTTGTCCAAATGAAGGTCTTAGCAAAGCATATTACTAATCAAAAATTACGTTTTGATATATTTACAGTAGGAAATTTACAAAATATCTTCATGGAACATGATCTTTACTTAATATCCTAATGATTTTGGGCATGAAAATCACAATAATTTTGACCCATACAATGTATTTTTGGCTATTGCTACAAATATTCCCTCAACGACTTAAGACTGCTTTTGTGCTCCAGGGTCACATTTAGTTATGAATTGCTAGAATTGTTTAGGGTAGCAAAAAGGCATTATGGGGGTCAAACTGTAATAGTTTTGTAGTCTGGTTGTTGTCTAATCCAGCCTAATTACACTGAGACATCCTTAACATCTGGCTACTTGGATTAGTTATTTAAACAACCCAAAGTTGTTGTTGTTGTTTTTTTGCATGCCTTATGGCTAGAAATATTGAATCCATATTAGATCTGAAGGTGTGTGTGTGGATGTGTACAAATCTTATTTGTCTTCAGAACAATAAATTTTTTTCTTTCTTTTGCCAATGATCTAATGTTTTATTAAAACTGTTTTATCTAAAACTTATGGCAGTCTGATCAAAAAGGAAAAAGATCATCACTGGTTGTCCTTCTGGTTCATGCATCAGACTGGTAATGAAAGATTGAGTGCATTGCATTGTAGAATGAAGTACTCTGCCAACTGTCAAGTGCGCTGTCAACTTTATTAGTTTATCTAGGTATTCCAGGTAGGGCTGCACGATTAATCGAATGCGATTGTCATGCGCATTTTGTTAGTAAAGCCGGTTCTGTAATCAGCAGGAAATCATCATCACGTGCTTTCAGATGGAGCAGCATTTACTACACATAGCCGTAGTTCACTGACAAGTTACGCAAAAAAATTCTCAAAAAGTTTTATTGCGCGATTATGAAATCGAAGAAATTGTTCGCGATAATGACAGCTGTTTGCATAGCTTCTCAGTGAACTACGGCTCTGTGAAGTAAACGCTGCTCCATCTGAAAGCATGTGAAAATACCACATTTAATAACATATTTTTACTCCAAACTCACTTCATAACGTCAGTCGAGTGTTTGAAATAAATCCTTCAGTGAGATGATGTGGCTTCTTACACAGAATAAGGCACGCAACATATTTCATAGTATTTAAGCAGTGATAAAGGCATTATAAATATACTTTATTTTAATGAAAATTATAATAATAAGAACTCTGATAAACGGTATATTGCCGTAGTCGTGTGTTTATTAGTCACGTTGAATCAATGAAAGCAGTTGAATCTTCTGTTTATTCAGCTGCAGCAATAGGCATTTTCTGGGTTTCTTCTGCGAGGCGTATTTGGAGTTTCTCTGGCCTTTGGATGGAGAATTACTGCTGATCACAGAACCGTGCTTCACTGAACGATACGCATGACAATCGCAGCTTCTGTCGAATTGCGATCTCGATTCTATTTCGATTTGTGCAGCCCTAATTCCTGGCATGCTAAAAATGTGCATATTAAATGCTATTCTGGACATAGATGTTGATTAGCTATAGTAGAGTTCCAGGAGGGGGACTGAGCACCTCTGAAGAAGAGAATACTGTGTTATCGTAAACTCAGAACTAACACCATTACATTGGCATTAACATCAGCAGATAGTTCATGAAAAGAGCACTATGATGCATAGTAATTTTATGAAACCAAAAAATGTGCTTGAAGGTGAACGAGATAATCTTTTCCTCTTTAATGCTAGTTGTAGCCCAAAATACACATGACTGAAAATCAGAAAGTATGTTGGAAGATACAGTGCAATTTACTGAAATCTTGTAATCACTTCACATCAGTGTTTCAAACTTGGGGAGATATCAGTAAAACAAATGTCACATATTGCATTTACCTCACAAAAGCCATTCAGTGTCCGTATTTTGTTACTTGGCTACAAACAAAAGAAAAAAAAAACTCTAGAGACGAGCATTTGGTTAAATATGCTTAGTATTACAGATTCATTATATTTTACTTAACCTGTTTCTAATGTCTTATTTAATGAATGTTTAAATAGACGTCATAAACTATTGTATGACAGCCACATTTTAAATTAAACATAATAATATCATTGAATATAAATACTGCCTATTTGTATAAAACTGAGTATTGAATATTTTATCTAAAAAGAAATAGCAATTGAATTTAATAGTTTGCACTTCTTAATTTTAACCTTTAATATTATAGTAATGTACCAACTGAGTTCCCAGTAAATCTTTAGCTGATTTTAATTTTTTTCCTTAGAGGGATAGTTCACCTAAAATCTAAATAAACAGGATTATTTACAGGACTTCGAAAATTCTGCTTAGGTTTCTGTTGTTGATATATGGATGTTTCCTCTCTAGGTCCATCCCAAATCCCACAGGCACTGTTGCGGCACCAAAGCTGGAAGGGTTCAAAGGAATCTCTAGCCCCACAGCGGCACAGTGCTCTAATGTCTGATGGCATGATTTACCGTCCCAGTAGCCCTGGACCTCAAAGCGACCTCTCACGGCCTGCTACCTTTCCTCAAAATCTTGCTGCTGGAGCTAGCAGTCAGCGAGTGAACCTTCCCCTCCCACGGCAGGTGCGTAGCATCACTCCTCCTCCCTCCTCATGGGACTCCAATCCCGCAACCAAGTGGTATTCTGGGAACTTGGATTACTTGGTGCCTCGGATCTCTCCTGTGCCTCAGGGGCCCCGACCCGATGGTTATATAAACTCTCCGTCTCAGGCACAGCGAGGGATCAGTCCAGTGCCAGTGGGTCGGCAACCCATCATCATGCAAAACTCGGGGGGCAACAAGTTCACCTTCCCTCCGTCCTGGCTTCAGAATGGCAACATACAAAGTGAGTATGTGGGCATTAATAGCAGTGGCTGGCAGCCACCACCACCTCCGTATCCCATGCACCAGACTAGCCGACAGAGTCCCACGGCCCAGCAGATGCAATCCAGCGCTCTTGCTGCACCCTTAAACGGAGCCAACAAAAGTGCCCCAAGCATGCTGGTGCCCAACCGCAATAGCCACAACCTTGATATGTACAACCTTGGGGTACTAGCCCAGGTCAGACCTCCTGTGCAGCAGGCTCAGACTTCCCCCGGTCACAGCACCAATCAGGATGTTCCTTCGTCATGGCCCCATAGTGTGCCGGGGCGCTCCAACTCCTTCACCAATGCTCAGCCCAGTGGACGTCAGTGCCCATCTGTGCCCAGCTCTCAACCTTCCGGCACTACGGTCACCACCATTACACAGGCCCCCATTTTGCAGCCGGTAAAGAGTATGCGTGTGCAGAAGCCAGAGCTGCACACCGCCGTGGCCCCTACGCTCCCACCTTGGATGCAGCAGCCACCCCCTCCAGCCTCTGCTTATCAAGAACCATCTGCTCCCACGGCTGCCCCCGAAGTCCCGAGCTACCAAGGCCCACCCCCTCCTTATCCTAAACACCTGCTACAGCAGTCACCTCCACCAGGGTACGACCCCAACCCAGGCCCAAAACCTAGCAACAAAGAAGAGGATGGAGTCGACAATGACAATGACACTGACAGCACCTGCTCCAGCGAGCGTGCTGAGGGCTCTGAGGAACGCGAGAAGAAACAAATCACGACATCTCCAGTGCCGGTGCGGCGTTGTAAACGTGACGAGGAGCGCAAGGGGGAAAGCAGAGTTCCCATGTACTCCCCACAGGCTTTCAAGTTCTTTATGGAGCAGCATGTGGAGAACGTCCTGAAGAATAACCAGCAGAGGATCCGAAGGAAGAAGCAGTTGGAGAGTGAGATGCAGCGGGTTAGCATGCATTTCTTCACTGCCACATCCTCTCACAATGTTCTTTGCATCTCTGATCTGCTGATTATTTCCTATTGACTTTTAACTTTTTCCATCTTTCTTCCATTATTCTTTCCTTCCCTTTTATTCTCCCTTTCTCTTGTCTGTCTGTCTTCCATATCTTTCAGTCTGTGGATCTCCTCCATATGTGTGATCAACTCGTTTTCATAGTTTAAAGGTTTCTTCTGGAGTAATCTTCACTCAAGAGTGGTAAAGTAAGACTCTGTAAGTTGGACAGCATGTGTATGTTCCTCGAATGTTCTTATGAGCTCTGTTCTAAAGCCTAGTGAGCTGCCTACCTAGACCATATTTTAAGGTGTCATAGGTTTGTGTACATTGCAAAGGCTGTTGTGAAAGTCATGCAAAGTAATACCTCTCTTTTCTGAAGTGGAAAGCCAAAAATTTAGGTTGCAGATAATGCAATCCCAGAATGCAATATGATGAAAATATTTTTATGCTAATCAGAATATTGTGTTGTTAGGTTAGCCGTTTACTAATACCAATCCTTACTTAAAATTAAGGCAAGTCTCCTGTCCCATTATGTGATGAGTAGGGATGTGACGATTAACCGCGAGCCAGTCGAAAATCGATTCAAATATGTGACTATTCAAATCGGTTGAGATGCCAAACAAATCGCGATACAATTGGAGTAGGAGTTTATATGAATGTATCTCTAAGGGGAACTGACTATCTTTAGAAAAGTTTGGTATTTTCTTTTCATCTTGCCTCTGAACATTGCATATTAAAGTAGTGTTCATAAGCGCAGCTCTGCTTTGTTTACAGCGGTAACCCAGGAGACACTGTGTCATTGCTGTTCATGAGCGCCTCCTGCTGTCAGAGAGTGAATCTGCGTCTCATTCAGCTCGTCTGCTGTTTTGTTCAGATATGTTTTATGTAGTATAGGTTCACAAAACTAAAGTCAGGCCATTCTGTTTTTGCTTCAAATTTCAAAATTATACAGTCTAATTTAGATTAAAAACTACTCATGCTGCATCTTTGTTTGGATCATGATTAAAATCCAGTGGTTGCCTCTAATTTTAAATGGAAAGAGCACAGACAACGCAAGATTTATTTTACTTGTTTGATTTGGGGTTTGTTTTAAAATTTAAATTTAGCTTAGTTATATTTCAATTTCACAAAGAAACGTGCAGCAATAGCCTAATAAAACGACACCTTTTCATTTACTGTATAATGTCTTAAATCTCATTTTGTAAAAAAAAAATCGTGAAAAAATCAAATTGTGAAATCAAAATCGTAAATCAAATCGTGAGTTGAGTGAATCGTTGCATCCCTAGTGATGAGTGCTATTTGTGTGACACACAGAGTTGCTACCTATGAAGAGCGTTTAGGAAGTTCTATGATGATTAGGAAGGCTATCTATCTAGACAATAGACTGCAAGGCAGCTCACTGGGTTTTAGGACGAATCTACTATCTTAAGGGTTTCCTGCAGCTCTGTAAGTTCACAACTATGCCGTGTGGGGTCTGTCCTGCCTTTTCACATTTTCTGCGCTGATTGTTGTGTGTTGGGTAGTGATGTGTATGAATGGAGCAGATACTACACTTTTACTGGTAGATAAAATATTTTAAAAAGAAACGTACTGTGCAGAATTTATTGTATGATAGATCATCTAAATCTGCAGTGTTCTGTGGGTGTATATTTCTTGAAAACCCACCTCAAACCTTGTATTTCATTGTTGCACCTGTGATTAAGGTCCAGTGCGGTCTGGCTACTGGCTTTGTTTTGATGTTAAGTTTAGTGTTATGATCATACCATTTCAGTAAAATACAACCCGATTTCAGTGAGTAAGATTTCAGGTTAGGTTCCTGCCAGAGAAGAGGTGATAAAAGCCTATGAGATGCATACTTGTAATACTTGTGTATTAAAATGCACATGAAATGAAATCTAGATAGCCAGTGAGTAACACTGCGTATCAGCCATTCTGAAGTCTGAGGGAAACAAATTACAGTTGAAATTCAAGCAACATTGGAAATTCTATTTGACATTTTGCCTTTCCTAGTTGTGCAAGCACAATCTATGGCAATGTATAATAATAATAATAAGAGCGGGTGCTGACTGAGGTAATTTTGATCACTATAGGAAACCCTGTGCATTGCATGCCTTGCCGTTTTTCAGTGCTGAATGCTGTTTGCCAAAGTTGTGAATATTACATGATTGAATGGTTTGTATGTTGTCTCAGATAATTTCATAAATTCATTGAATCTGTGTCTTTGTGTGTTGTGTGACAAGTTTGTCTGTATTTATGGATGAGCATCTGTTTTGTGAGGGCCGTTGTCTTAACATGTGTTGTGTGTGCAGGTGGGACTTTCAAGTGATGCACAGGAGCAGATGCGCATGATGCTGTGCCAGAAAGAATCCAACTACATCCGCCTCAAGCGCGCCAAAATGGACAAATCCATGTTTGAAAAGATCAAGACTTTGGGAATCGGGGCGTTTGGAGAAGTGTGTTTGGCTCGGAAAGTGGACACTGGAGCACTGTATGCCATGAAGACCCTCCGTAAAAAAGATGTACTGTTGCGGAACCAGGTGGCCCATGTGAAAGCTGAGCGGGATATTCTCGCTGAAGCTGATAATGAGTGGGTTGTAAGGTTGTACTACTCGTTTCAGGATAAAGATAACTTGTATTTTGTCATGGACTACATCCCTGGTGGGGACATGATGAGTCTTTTGATCAGAATGGGCATTTTCCAAGAGGACTTGGCTCAATTTTACATTGCCGAGCTCACCTGTGCTGTGGAAAGCGCCCACAAAATGGGTTTTATCCATCGAGACATCAAACCTGACAACATCCTAATTGATCGTGATGGACACATTAAACTGACAGACTTTGGCCTGTGCACTGGCTTCCGATGGACTCACGACTCCAAATACTACCAAAGCGGTGAGCCTAACAGCTCAAAGACCATTGCACATTTTTGATAAATTGACCCCATTATTTTGTGCTATTATAGCTACTTTATAAAATCATGCCAGTAGTTAACGCAGTATGTCAATGCATTACACACATTAATATTAATGTTTATTACACAATGGCAAAAAAAGAAAGATTTGAAAAAGAAGCGTCACCATTGGAATACTCTGTCCTGGTCAAAAAGTTTCCTTAAAAGTGAGTTCTGGTGGGGAAATATCACATTCAGGTCTGACGAAATGGTCACTTTTCACGTTAATATTTATGGATCCTGAATATATTGTTGAATGAAACATTGGAGAATTGATAAAGGGCTTTGGTTCCACCAGTCTAAGATGTTGAACTTTCTGTATCTGTGTCCTGTCAGGTGATCACGTGCGTCAGGACAGTATGGACTTCAGTAAGGAATGGGAGGATAGTGCTAATTGTCGCTGTGGAGACCGACTGAAGCCACTGGAGCGCAGAGCTGCTAGACAACATCAGCGCTGCTTGGCACACTCATTGGTGGGCACTCCCAATTACATCGCACCTGAGGTTCTGCTGCGCACAGGTATGTCAGTTTGTGTGTAGTGACACCTACTCGTGAACAGTAATAAACTTTATTTATCAAGCACTTTTCATGCAGTTACAAAGATTGCTTGACAAAGAAATACATGTTTCATGTAAGAAATAGTTCACACATAAATAAATAAATATACTCACCCACATGTCATTCCAAACCTGTATGACTTTCTGTCTTCAGAAGGAGATGTTCACGAATGAGTCATCATTCATGTTCATTTGCCATATATTAAAACAAATCAAATGAGCATTTCAGCATTTCAGGGATTTTTTTTCAGAAAATATAAGACAACATCAAACAACAAAACGATTTCTGACATGAGCAGTATGGGCTCTGAACAAATGACACCCATTAGTTTAATACACTTGAGCAGGAAGAATGAAGGCATAGTTATTATGGATGTAACGATTCACTCCGATAATGAGATTTAGGACAAGATGTCCTTTTATTAGCCTATTGCTTGGACAAAATTCTGCACATTTCTTTGTGAAATTGAAATTTGTCAAATAACAAAACTAAATTGGAATTTAACCCCAAATCAGATAAATAAATAACACAAATCAAAGAACTCTCTTCATATAAACAAACTAAGGCTTTGTCTGTGCTCTTTCCATTTAAAATTGGAGGCTACCACTGTATTTTAACCACGATCCAAACAAAGATGCTGCATACATGGAGCATGAGCAGTTTTTAATCTAAATTAGACACTATAATTTTGAAATTTGATGCAAAAACAGAATGGTATGACTTTAGTTTTATGAAACATTATTTGCATAATGCGTTGTATCAGTGCTTATTTGATTAGATATATTTAATATGGTGAAGATGTGATGGAGTATGTGTAGCTAAACAGTGCTGATTCATGTTTGGATTACTAGAGTAGATGTTTCAAGAAAAAGCTTAAAGTGGTCATATGACGTTGCTAAAAAAGAACATTATTTGGTGTAATGCAATATGTTTATGCGGTTTAAGGTTAAAAAAACATTATTTTCCACATACTGTACATTATTGTTTCTCCTCTATGCCCCGCCTTTCTGAAACGCCTCGATTTTTACAAAGCTCCATCGGTCTGAAAAACGAGGTGTGCTCTGACTGGCCAGCTATCCAGTGCATTGTGATTGGCCGAATACCTCAAGCGTGTGACGGAAATGTTACGCCCCTCACCATACTGTGATGCCGTCTCCCGGCATGACCAGACAAAACCAATAAAACCCATTATAAACAAGGCATTTGTTGCATCCAGTGGGGACATAATTACTGATTATAATGAATTGTACTGTTTTTTTTGCCGTGTAAACATAAAACCATGTCTGCATTTGTGATCGGAGAAATGACAAACAACAAGCGCTACTCTACACTGCCCAAAACTCGTGTTTGAATCGTCAGTGGCAAATCCTTTAAATATGAAAACGTACTTACAGTCTGTGAGTCTGAACAGCCGACATTGTAGTCTACTCTACCAGGATCAGTAAACAGTCCTCCATAAAATGTGGTGCACACATCTGAATATTTGGGTTGAACTGTTCTGGAACAGTGTTGTAAATACAACTTAACCACTGATTTCTAGTCGTGTCCTTCCAAAAGAGCCGGCGGCTTGAGTGAGCGGAGGCCGGCGGGCTTGCGGCAACCACATGTGACGACCCCGGGCTAGACTCTGCTTCGTCCACGGTGAAAGCCGATCCGGTGATCCACAGCGAAGTTGATGTATTTCCTCAGCAACCAGCACTAGATCAGCTCCAGGCATGACGAAGCAGATATCGTCCTCTTTTGGAAGACCAAACAAAGTAGTTTCGCTTTCACAACGAAACACACGGCAACAACAAAACTACAGCGAGAATAAAAGTTATGCCGCCTTTCTTTGCGTGAACATTTGGGCGACGTTATGCAAATCTTCCCACACAGTGATGTAGACATGTGGGGGCGTGTTAGAACGAGCCGTTTTAACTCCTACCGGCTGACTCTTAACTTTTATAAAGAAGTTTTTAGACTTTAGTCTTTGCAACTTTACAGATCTTCTTTATGCACCAAGAGCTTGTAACACTCCAAAGAGAAAGAAAAAATTGAAATGGCATCATATGACCCCCTTTAAACACATTCACTGAATGTGGAGTAAACTTGAATGTACCACAGTTTTTCGTGCAGAAACCACTATCATATTTGCCCTGTTGCTTTTTGTACTCTCATTAATGGGGCAACACAGCAAATGGATGAAAATCAATTGCATTATTTTGAATTCCTGTAATCGGTAGGGCTGAAACAATAAATTGATGCATCGTGATTCGTGGATTGATTCTGAGATTTTCGTAATGCATCGTGTGATTCTCTCGAATTGATTCTGAGCTTAGTTTTTAACAGCAGATGGCGCTCTAGGCTAGTCTTTAACCACACACTCAAATGCTCATGAAGAAGAGCGCTTGTGCGTTCGGCTGAGTAATGTAAGGGGTTAAATGTACTTCCACATTGGCTTTTATGCTTTTATGATGCGAGATTAATGTAAACACAGCCCACTGTGAACATCCTTGTAATTCGCTTCAACCTTTTCGAACTTAATTAACTTTATTTTAGGTTCTAATGGTGCGTGTGTAAGGAACTGGAAGCAAGCAGAATACAGCTATTTCTAAAGCACGCAGTGCCATCTGCTGTTAAAAACTAAGCTCAGAATTGATTCAAGAGAGAATAGCGATGCCTTCGGGAAAATCTCAGAATCGATGCGGAATCATTTCTCGATTCGCGATGCATCAATTTATTGTCCCAGCCCTAGTAATCGGATTACAGTAACAGTGCGATACAGATTGTCTCTTTGATTTATAATGGTGGTGCACATACTATTGTTATGAAGTTTTGAGCTAGTTTCTGAGTCACGTTGCTTGTTTGCAGTTTAAACTGTGTTGTACGGTACAACAGAACTGTATGCTGCTGTAATCTTGAGATTTTATGACCCTTTTATATTGATGGAAGGGATATGATCATTTTATCTATTTATTTATTTATTTATTTTTAATCCTAGGTTACACCCAGCTCTGTGATTGGTGGAGTGTGGGTGTTATCCTCTATGAGATGGTAGTCGGTCAGCCTCCTTTTCTGGCAACAACTCCTCTTGAGACCCAGATGAAGGTGAGAATACATGTTGGTCCTTAGAGGTGGATGTGTTTGGTCTCATCATGTTGTAACACACATATGCAGCATTAACTAGTTAATATTGGGCAACAGATGCTGTCAGTCAGTGCCGTTATCAGCTTTATGTTTGCATAGCTACACACAGAGTTAAATCATCTTGCTTTGTGGTTGTGTCCATCTCAGGTGATAAACTGGCAGATGACCCTACACATTCCCCTGCAGGCCAAGCTGAGTCCGGAGGCCACCGACCTGATCCTGAAGCTCTGCCGTGGCCCGGAAGACCGGCTTGGGAAAAATGGAGCTGATGAGATTAAAGCCCATCCCTTCTTCAAAAGCATTGACTTCTCCACAGATCTGCGGCAGCAACACCATGCGCCTTACATTCCCAAAATCACACACTGCACTGACACCTCCAACTTTGACCCCGTTGACCCCGACAAACTCTGGAGCGACGATGCTGACAGCAACCACAACGACACGCTCAACTGCTGGTTCAAGAACGGCAAGCACCCGGAGCACGCCTTCTACGAGTTCACCTTCCGCCGCTTCTTCGACGATAACGGCCACCCGTACAGCTGTCCCAAGCCCATCGAGTGCGAGGATTATGACGGGGAGGAGGACGAGCCCATCAACCCGTCGAAGGGGTTCGGGCCAGAACAGGGGCGGGATTTAGTGTATGTTTAGTGTGAAATCAAAAGAAACCAACCAGAAATAGTTTTATATGAGCAGAAATAAAGCAAGCCTGTAATGTAGGACCATTCATATCAGCATTGTGATTATTTTCATGACGAGTACATTTCAAACCTCAATTTCTCATTACTGTAATGCAAACAAATGTGTCTAATAATAATTAAACATCATAGTAGTATTTTTTTCACTGCCTTTATGCTGGTGTGAAGAAATAATGCATGACTTTGCATTACTGTAAAACATTTATTTTACATAAAAATAACTATAATGCAATTAAAACAATGAAAATGACAAATTCAAAAATAAAATATTTGAACGTAAAAGGAATTTTGGGGGGAAACGTGTTTAATTCTCATGAACATGGCAACAATTTTAAAAGGCCTAAAAACTGGCTGATTTTTATTATGCAAAATATAATTTCTTAATTCTTTTGATTTATTGGTAACATCGGGGCGTATTTTCACGAGACAGACCTGTGTAGGATGTGAGCGTGTTTTTTTTATTTATTGTATATATATGTTTATGTATGTTTTCTCTCTTCCGTCTATGGTGGTGACTGGTTGAGTCTGCCTTGACACTTTGTGCTGTATTTATTATTTTAGTTCAGGATGCACTTGTCTGGTGCCTTTTAAACAACCGAGAATCTAATGATGCAGTGGAGCTCTGTATTTTTACTCTTTAATTTATTTAAAGACTTTTTTTTTTTAAATGGTAGCTGAAACAAGTTGAGTATTTTCTTCCTGAAATGATGTCTTTATTTATGATTGTATGGATTTGTTTCTTGTTCTTAGCGGCACAGGGCATTAGAATGCACAGGGACTTTGATTTTATGCTTTCTTTCACCAAAACTACAAGGGGGATCATCATGTACGCTGACCGTTCATTATACAAGTTCCCAAAAAGAAACATTGTAAATTGTTGCTCTGTGAATTTTTTATTTATACACATAAAAATTGTATATATAAGTTATGCAGTGTAAATGAGTACTTTTCTCCCTGTTCTTAGTTCCAAAGGTTTAGGAAAGGAACCATGGGCTAGATCCTGTTCTGTTCAACAGGATATGATGTCAAAACATGTTCTACCGTACATATCACTACAGATCCTGAGCAAAACACATTTGAGATCCCTGCTCTGGGTTCTCTCTCTGCTACGAAGAGATCTTGCTGTGTCACTACCAAAGCCTTGTTTTTCTGCAAGAAGTCTCCTGGCGTCATTGTTTTATTATATTTTTCTGAAATGTCTCTAAGATACTGTGCATCTCATAATGTAATAAGGAACTCCTTTTCTTTAATTAAACTGGTGGTCTTATACCCAGGAAAAGCATCTGTAGCTACTTTGTGTGTACATTTGCTTTGAATGGGAGAGAAGATGGGGTGGTGATAAATTAAAGCACAAACCACATATTTCAGTGTCTATTGTTTGTGTGACGAATTATGGTGTAATCATATATACAGATTCTTTTTTAAACGCAGGACACATTAACAAAAGTGTTTAGTTTATGTTGTTATGGTTAAAGTTAAAGTGGTTTATGGCAATAGCAGGAATAGTATGATTAAAATCTGCTTAAAAACTCACTATACAATATTTGGAACAGTATGTTTGGATTCTTGTGTTCCAAATTTTTTAAGTATTATTACCATAATAGGGATAATTATTAGACCAGAATGATATATTGGATGGCTTTACCATCATGTTACTCAAATTCATGTGAATCATGGTATTTATACAGGTGCATCTCAATCAATTAGAATGTCGTGGAAAAGTTAATTTATTTCAGTAATTCAACTCAAATTTTTAAACTCGTGTATTAAATAAATTCAATGCACACAGACTGAAGTAGGGTTGTTAAAGTAAATTAACATACTTTCCAGAAGGCCAACAATTCACTAAAAATGTTTTTTATTGGTCTTATGAAGTATTCTAATTTGTTGAGATAGTGAATTGGTGGGTTTTTGTTAAATGTGAGTCAAAATCATCACAATTAAAAGAACCAAAGACTTAAACTACTTCAGTCTGTGTGCACTGCATTTATTTAATACACGAGTTTCACAATTTGAGTTGAATTACTGAAATAAATGAACTTTTCCACGACATTCTAATTTATTGAGATGCACCTGTATTGTGCATCAGGGATTGTTCAAAGAATATACATGTACATGTAAAAGCTAACATGGTCAGATGAAAATATGGGGGACTACCTGTCAAAAGTGATTGATTTATGACCCCAGGTGTCAAATTGATCCTCTGATGTCCTGTTCCTGTTCCTGTTTCCTGCTGTTTATGACCCACAGATGTAAAATTGAAACCTCTGACCCCCTGTGTCGATCTGACACCTCTGACCTCCTGTTCCTGTTTATGGCAGTGGCCATTTTGTGATCATGATGTGATTCAACTATTCTTGTTTTACCATGTGTTATGACGTGTTACAGCGATCTCAGAGTGGGTTGGTCCTTCAAGCAATCTAGTTGTTTCACACCTTTGAAAAAGAACAAGAATGAATGAGATGAGAGTAATCACACACTTATGTTTTGGGATGAAAGACTCTTCCAAACATTTGTCGTTATTGTCATCAATGGTTGCTCAGGTGGCTCAACAGATCAAAATGGCAAACAATTATCTAAGTCAGCAACTATCTAATCCATCCATGCTTCTGAAAAAGTGTTCTGTCCGGGCATGTTCTTTTTAGACCCTAAGAGTTGCAGCACATTTTCCACTCATGAATGCAAATGAAGAAACAATAAAATAGTTTAAGAAATAAAACAAGAACGTTCTAAGAGAACTTGCATGAGTTAAAGTGTGATCCATGGAGTCCAGGTGGCTATCTGTGAATGAAGGTGTTCCCAGACATGCATGCTCAGTTCCTGTCTGTGGACCGTGTTGTTTTGTATTTGGTTTGCAATGTGTTACCCTGATTGGTAGTATCAACCATGTATTGAAGAGTTAGTCAGGATGTAACTTTTCACATGAATGTCCTAACTAGTCTAAAATCATCCTTTCTTCATATGTCCCTTCCTGACTTTCTGGGGCTGTACAACAGTGTTTACGTCAACACCTCAATATGGTCTGATCTATAGGCTATATGTTAATGTCTCTTACCTTCTGAGCAGGAAGGGGCCCACTACCTTTCAGTGGTGGAAGAAAAAACATGTTTGTCATGTTTGGGGGTTGTGCTTTGTTTTAGGTTGTAAGGCATCCAAACACATGCCTACCTGATGATATATGGAGCTAAATGTTAATGGCAAAAAACAAAAAAAAAACAAAGCATTCGCAAAGACCATTACTCTCCATAGGCGTAATGGTTTTTATACTGTACAAACTTATATCACCATACCCCCCAATGCTGTACCTAAACCTACCTCATAGGAAACTATTGGCAATTTCTGAAATTCATAAAACAACATTAAAGGCAAAATTTTATACATTGTTTAATTGTTGTGGTTATTTAAGAAATGTATTCATTTTAATCCAGCCCACAGATAGTATGTGAAATGTAAAGTACAAATATACTTTATCACTTAAAGCTTCTCAGTAAAATAATTACACCCACACATTTTAAACATGTTTAAAAGGTTAAACACATTGTGTGTCACTAAAGCAAGGCACACAGTCTATTGCCTTTAAATGAAACTGGTTTTATTCTGTAATATCTTTCAAATAGCCTGATGACCAGCATTGGGTTTTTTTTTTCAGATCATTAATGCGGCCAAATGTTTTTCTCATATGAGCAGAAAACTCTTTGGATGTGTTTGTGACAAACACACATTTTTGTTTTACTTCAGAAAACGTTTTAAATGTATGGCTGAACTTTTCTCATTTGACAGATCTACTTTTCAAATTATTTACCCGAGGTGTTTACAATCACACGGATTACATGTTGTTTTCTAATGTTCATGAAACCTTTATCTGTGTACATTTTCATACCTTGAACACAAAACTTTGCTTTTGGGATCCAGATGAAGCCTCATGCCAACCAAGCAGCTTTATACATTCTGACTATTTGTAGGTATCATGTAATTTTAAATGATTTCTAAAAGATTAAAGGCACCAGAATCTGGGATTTTCAACATGAAAGAGATGTACAAGCTAAGGATGTTTCAACTATTATCATCATTTCCTTTTGACCCTAATACACTGGTAATGAATTATCTGGCAAGTGACAGTATATAGTTCTCATACTATCTGTAAATAGCTGTGCTAAAACATTTGTGAGTATTTTTGCATGCCAACAGATTTTTCATCTAAAAATCACAATATTTTTTGACGGACATTTTTCATATACCCCAATAGATTTAGTCATTTTATCAAGATTACGGATGGCCGTTCACAGTTTGTTTGTTGGACTGTGTATGTTTTTAGGTGAAGACTCCTCTTTGTGAGCTGTCATCATAATAGGAATAAATGAAAAGTAAGAAATTTAGTAACAGTCTTTCTCTTTGAGATATTTCTTTTAGTGCAACTTTCCGAAGTGGGATCACATGAAGCATCAACACGAAAATTAAATCTTGCTGTTTTACCCTTAAAACTATTACAACTGAAACAAATCAAACTATTACACTGAAAGCTGCACATTCATTTAAGTTTGAGCATGTTCAAGTTTCTACACTCTTGTAAAGAGTATAGATAAATTGAATCTATAACCTTTTGTACATTCAAGAGACCAAATCACTAAGAAAGAGAGTACAGCAAGAAAAGAAATGTTCATAATGCATATAGAATTCAGAAATCTGTTTCGTAAACAATTGTGAAAGGTTTTAAATGTGGATTTGTAAATGATATTTTTATTACTCCACTAGATGTAGTCATCTTGTTCAGATAGCAGATGACACAATTCACATTTAGTTTGTTTGGCTGTATTTGTTTTAAGACGCTACCGTAAGTTCATGCTAATGCCCGTATAGGTAAAGGAGAATGATGAGCACATACCTATTCATTTAAGAAAATTATTAAACATTTGACTGAACTTTTTATTATTTTGACAAACCTCCATTTCAAATGATTTTCCCTGAGGTGTTTGTCCACAGAATCTTTTTTGACCCTGCCTGCTTGAATACATAATCGATCTGTTTGCCACATGTTAGCCTTGCAGATTCATCCGCACGTCTCACGTCTCGTCAGCCCCGTAACACAGTGTATGTTCATAGGAATTTATGAACAACTACAGCATAAAAAATAAAAGGATAGTCATTCTAGATGAGTGTTTAAAACTAAAAGTGTGATATCCTTTTTTGGTTGTCTTTTCGACCTGTCTATGATCATGTCTACCTGTGTTATAAAGACACATAATAGCCCATACCTCAACTTGAAAATGGGTCTTGCCATTTTCTGTTATGACTGTTACACTTAATACAAGCCCATCTATTACACTTAAAGTTAGACATTAAAAGCCAAGAATGCCACAGACACTATTTCCTTTGTCTGCGTCTCTAAACATCACTCCAGTAAATAAATCACAGATGACATGTAGCTAATTAATTGAAAAGGGCATGTTTTCTACCATTTTAGACGGTCTGCACCAACACACAGACACATGTTTTAGGTATGTTTAAAACATTTTCAAAGTTTTTAAATTTATTGTTTTATTGTTATTATTTTCTTTTCTTTTATGTAAAGCACTTTGAATTACCATTGTGTATGAAATGTGCTATATAAAAAATGTTTAACATCTCATTACTCCATTGTGAAGACACGTACTGTATAAATCACAAAGTTTTTCACTGTAGTAGGCCGACTTTGAAACCAGACCAAACAAAAATTTGCTTGAGCCTTAGTTGTAGCACTATGAAAATTGTTGTGTTTTTATCTTTCTATGATTTGTTAGTGCTGTTCTGAACAGCGGTTTCATTTTAACATCACAATTCGTATTGTGAAAATGACAGAAATTCTTGTTGGTGACATATGCACAGTAATATACAGTGTTATTTCTGTTATGTTGATTTTTTTAAATGCCAGACCTGTTATATGGGATGAATATTGAACAGTTACATCAATTAACTAATAGAATATGACTGAAGTATTTCCACTACACATCTACACAGTATGAGACAAAGACAAACCAATCTATTTCTTATCTGCCCTCTTCTTCCGCATCTCCTCCATCCACTGGTCAAGTGGAATACCAGCATTTTGGGGACAGTATATGTACCCATAATACTGGCTGTGGCCACTTTCTTTGTTCCGGGGCTGTTGGCACTGACTACATTTATTTTTGTCAACTTTCCGATTGTAAGGCCTCTGGGTAGGTGGTGGGGAGGAAAGGGGGCCAGCAGGAGCAATCTGTTTGTATTCATTGAATTGTGGGGCCAAAAACACATACAC